CCGTCATTACAGCAAGTTCTGTTGCACGGTGCTGTCTAAACGAGATAGTGGTCCACACTCAGGGCCCGTGATGCTCACAAAAAAGGTCTGAGAAAGAAGGCAGTGCTTTCCATAGGCAGACCCTGAAATACATTCCATAGAGGAGAATATGAAACCATATCATAAACTCTTAACAATACACCTAAAGGGTTCATCTGATAGATAAGCCAATCTAATTTATTTTTAATGGTCACAGATATAAGTAGTATCCTTCTTACAGGAAGATCCAGTCGTCTTGTACTTGTGGGATTTTTAGTTTTTCAGTTGTTATGGTTTGGACTTTTCTATCTGTGACCCCCCCCCCCCCCGCAACCACTGCCTCTTTGACCGCGAGCACCACCACTGTCGCCAAAGCAGGTGAGAGTTGCAGGAAACGAGAGAACAATTGTGAGGAGCTCGTTATCCTTTCTCTAATTAATGTAAACCAAAAATAGCTCATCACTTTCTGTCACGGTTCCTGATTGGAGGTTGAACTTTTCTCCCCTTACTGACACAGATGTGTAATGCTCTTCTTCTTTCCTGACAGAAAGAGCTTAAAACATCCTGACACACTGCCTTGTCATCGTTCCTCCTTGATCTCACGAAACACAATGTGCAAGTTATGCTGTATAAGCACGGCCTTAGGTAAAGGTCGTCTTTCAGATTTATTTTAGAATAGCTCCTCGGAGAAGCCCTGACATCCGGGGCCCCTCGCCCACTCCTTAGGAGGCAGCACCTTTACCTCTTCCCGAGGGACGTGCTGGCACCGTCCAATTTAATAATTTGCATTGAAGCGAAGAACAGTGCCTCTGGATTTTGTTTAATTCTAGTCGTAGTGAAGTGAAATCACAACGGCCTCAATTCCTATTTAGTGCACTTATTTCATTAGGTGCATTTTTAAAACTGAATTGCAAGCGCTTTAAAATAATTCAGCCCTTCAGAGGAAAAAGAACAAAAAAAGTTGCCATCTCCTTGGCAACTTCCTCAGGCATATGGAGCACATGCAGGAAGCTTTACAAGCCTTCAGAGAAAATCGGCCCTCCCGTCCCTGCTGCACCGGCAGCCTCCTCTAATGCCTCCCCTCCACCCCACCCCCCACCGGTTCCCAGGCATTTACCGTAGGGAACAACACGCGGCATAACTGCACGATTCTGAGTCTCTTCTAGAAACCTGTGAGCAAAGCCCCTCACTGACACCGCTTCCGCCTTCCAGACTCCTGATCTACCAATAATTGCTGACTGATGGTTAATTTTTGTGTGTCAGTGCTGTATTCAAGGTACTACATACTTTAATTCCCTCGGAATCCTTATGAGATAGCGCTACAGTTCCTTTTTACACACGGGGAAGCCGATTTCAGAGAGGGTTAAGCGGCTTGTTTTAAGTGTATTAGAACGCAGGCTGTCTAGTCCCACAGGTGATCATGTAAACACTAGGCTCACCACCTTTCTGACCCCAAGTGTGTATTATTTCCAGAATTCATCATCAACTTTCCCTCTGGACAGAGGAAACTCTTAGAATTGGTCTTTTTCCAGTCTCTAATGAGGACTCACAGGAATACAATGCAGTGTTTTGTGTAACGATACTAAGCTGCATCTTGGTAGATTATGATCTTTTGCAAGCTATCCTTCTAAAAATATCTAATAAATCATGTGCTGCAAGATGGAAAGACTCATTTCTTGGGGAAAATAAAATTAGTCTTGCCGATGATGCATAGCTAAATGTAAGCAGTCAGGAACCCAGTTAATATAACCAGTTAGGTCAGCTTATATGTCATCGTTTAAGTGAAATTCACTGCAGTGTTGGAGCTTGGAGTTGAGGCCACTGGTTGGCCGATGAACCCACAAATGTAGGGAGTGTGCTACACGGGGCCGAGTGTTTCATAAACACCACAAGGGTCTCTGGCCCCATGAGTGGAGTTTGATAGTAGTACTTACTACAAGTAAAAAGTCAATCAATCATTCAATCAATGAAATTCAAATATAAAATGTTACCTGAGTGTTCATAATTGTTTAAATCCTGACATGTATCAACAATCAAAAGGAATAGTATATATGTAAAATCACACTGGGTTCATGACCAGCTTTTACTAGATATATAAAAGTATAAGGTTTTATTTATTTCATATCAAAAACAACATGGTTGCTGGTTCCACTGATAATGTTTTTATGCTATTGAAAAATTCTATTAATTATTAATCTTTATGTTTTTAATGGCATTCCTATGTAATGTCACCAGCAAAACAGCAAAAAGACATGATTGTAAAACATAACCTTTTTTCTTTCAGCTCTTCTAATAGAATAAAATTCCATACCAAACAATATTTCTGAAAAAAAAGTTTAAAGTAATTGCCTCCAAAATTTTATTTTATGGAAACACTGTGATTTGAAAATTAACTCATAACACAGTTTCAGTAAACCAAAAGATGGCACATACTCTTCGCTCCTTGGGAGCCTCCTTAAACAGTACACCAGGTTTTATTTTCCTCTGTCAGGAAAATGAGTAGAAATAAATTTAAATGCAAAGATTTTGAAGATCTCTTTAAACTGCATATAAAATCTATTTTTAATTGTTCACAGGCGAAAATAGTCAGTTCTTGAAGACTGCAGTGGTAGGGTATTACATGTAAAAATGACAAAATGACTGAATAAAACAGTCAATTGGACCTGTCTCATTTGTTATCTTTAGTCCTGTCTCCGTACTGGTCCACACTCAGGCTTATTGTAATGACCTATTTTGTGGACACAAGAGTACAAATGACTATTCTGATATTGACATCTTAAAAAGACATTAAGAGTGAGAAATATTGGTTATACCAAGACATGCCTATGATAAGACTTGTGATTAATAACTTCCTTTTGTTCTTACAAACAATGCTCAAAGTCAGTTGAAGCCTATTCTTGATAGAAAAATGGTTGCTGCAAGCTGTTGATATATTCCTTCTGCTAGCAGTGCTTACGTAACGGCAGACACAGCCCAGGATTCAGGGTCAGAGGAGCCCAACAGAAGTATTCGTCTAGTCCTTGTGTTATTTTAAGATTGAACTACATATGACCTTGTAGCATGGAATGAAATAGTAGCCTGATTCTTTGCACATGGAGCTGGCTGCAAAGAAAAGCTGACTTAGATTACAGAACAGAAAGAGAGAAAGGAAGGAAGGAAAAAAAAGAAGAGAGAGAGAGAGAGAAAGGAAGGAAGGAAGGAAGGAAGAAAGAAAAGGAAAGAGGGACAGAGACAAGAAAAAGATAACTCTTACTGCAATATGAACTAAGCTGAAAATTGATTATGTATTAATGGTTAAAATAAATTTAGGAAGGACATTTCTAAAATGACAATAAATTTGTGAAGTTACAGACACTATGAATTTTTATGTTACAACCATTAAAACTGTTGTCTGAGAATGTTACCCTAATTCCCACACCCCCAAGAGCACATGGAAGCATGCTATCAGGGGCCTTGCTAACTATAAACTGCTAAATAGAAAACCTTTAAATAATAATTATTAAAATAGGTAGGAAAACATTATTTTTGTATTGATCATTTAAAAAATTTTGCAGTTGTGGTTTATGATTAGGGAATTATTTTCCTTGCCTCGTACATGTCACAGCTATTCATAATTTTGGCTTATGTCTCCCATCGAAAACAATTATCTTGGAGCACTCCCAGAGAACTCCCTAATCACTTAGTCATCTTCAGTGTGTTGGTTTCCTAGGGCTAATGTAATAAATGCCCACAAACTGGGTGGTTTAAAGCAATGGAAATTTATTTTTCACAATTCTGAAAGTCAGAAGTCTGAAGTCAAGGTGTCAGTAAGGCCAGACCACCTCCAGAGACACAAGGGAAGCGTCCTTCAGTGCTTCTTCCTAGCTTCTGCTGGTTGCTGTCAATCCTTGTAATTCCTTGGTTTGCAGTGGCATCACTGTAATCTCTGTCTCCGTCTTCATATGGCCGTCTTCCCTGTGCTGTCCCTGTGTTCATGTGTCTGAATCTCCCTCTTCTTACTTTTCTTTTCTTTTAATTGAAGTACAGTCAGTTACAATGTGTCAGTTTCTGGTGTGCAGCACAACGTCCCAGTCATGCATATACGTACATATATTCATTTTCATATTCTTTTTCATTAAAGGTTATTACAAGATATTGACTATAGTTCCCTGTGCTCTACAGAAGAAATTTTTCTAAAATCTATTTTTATATATAGTGGCTAACATTTGTAAATCTCAAACTCCAAAATTTATCCCTTCCCACACCCTTTCCTCAGTAACCATAAATTGTTTACTATGTCTGCAAGTCTGTTTCTGTTTTGTAAATGAGTTCATAGTGTCCTTTTTTTCTTTTATTTTTTTAAGACTCCACATATGAGTGATATCATATGGTGTTTTTCTTCTCTTTCTGGCTGACTTCACTTAGAATGACAATCTCTAGTTCCATCCATGTTGCTGCAAATGGCATTATTTTATTGTAGCTTGGTGCAGCCATGATGGGAAAAAGTATGGAGATTCCTCAAAAAGCTAAAAATAGATTTACCATATGATCCCATAATCTCACTTCTGGGTATATATCTGGAGGGAACTCTAATTTGAAAAGATACATGCACCCCAATGTTCACAGCAGCACTATTCACAATAGTCAAGACATGGAAACAACCTTAAAGGTCCACCGACAGATGACTGGATAAAGGAGTTGTGGTGTATTTATACAGTGGAATACTACTCTCCCTCTTCCTTCTAAAACTGGCAATCACTGGATTAGGGACCCTGTTCCAGTTTAACCTAACCTTAACTTGATTACGTCTGCAAAGACCCTGTTTCCAAATGAGGTCGCCTCCACTAGTCAAGACTTGAATATTCTATTTCGGGTGACACAGCTCAGCCCACAACACTCAGTCCTAATGAAACTTCCCCATTTTCTCTTTGATGCATTTAAAGCTACTGCTCTTTTCTCTTGAATCATCTCCCTCTTGGTATCCATAACACTGACGTTTCTGCTCTTAATCTTCTCTAACCTTGTCTAGCTCTGTCTTTTTGAATGTTTTATCTTCTTGCTGTTTCCTGGATGGCATTTCCATGACTTTGTCTTACTTCTTTCTTTTCCAAAGTCTCAATCTCCATGCATTTAATAAGCACATACTGGTAACTACACGCACTTATGTTTGCTGGACACTGGCTGTGTAGAGAAAATTAATCATGGTTTCTGTTTGGGAACTTACAGGAAAACAGGGGCACATGTAAATACATCAATAAAATATAACACTGAGTAGAAACGGAGCATAAATAATACAACAAGAAAGACTGCAAACTTGAGAAAACACTCAAACTGGATTTTGAAAAAACTTGAGTAACTTCAACAGGCTAGTTTTCATGAATTTCTACTACATTATTTTTTCTTGGTGGAAAGGTTTTAATTATGAAGTACATTTCTTTAATATATATAAGACTCTTCGCATTACTATGTCTCCCTGTGTTAAATTTTTAATAACTTTTTATAGAATGGCTTTCAATTTATAGAAATATTGCAAAGATGGTGCCCAGAATCCCTGAATATTCTGTCCAGTTCTCCCCATAGTTAGCGTCTTACATCGCCGTGCTACCTTTGTTACAACCAACGGACCAGCATGGATACATTGCATTTAACCAAACGCCGTGCTTTACTCCTCTCTCTTTCCTGGATTCCCATCCAGAGCATCTCATTACACTCAGTCACCATGTCTCATTAGGCTTAGCTGGACCGATAGCTTTTTAGACTTTCCTTATTTCCTTGACAATTTTGAGGCGTACTGCTCAGCTGTTCTGAAGAATGTCCTTCAGCTGCAGTTTGACGTTTTCCTTGTGATTGCGTTGGGACTGGGTTTTCGGAGGAGGATTACAGGAAGGAAGTATTGTTCTCATTGCATCCTCTCAGGGGTACACGCTATCGGCGTCACTGACGACGTTCCCCTGAGTTATCTGGCTCAAGTAGTGTTTGTCACATTTTCACACTGTTATTTTTTTCCCCTTTCCTACATTGTATTCATTGGAAACCAGTTACACAGTGCAGCTCACATTCAAGAGGTGGAGAGTTAAGCTTCTTGACCTTGATGGGGGGTATCCACATAAATTATTTGGAATTTTTCCATACCAGAAATCTGTTCCTTCAGTCCCATTTATTCACTTACTCAATCAGCTGTGTGTATCAGTATGGATCTGTGGATGTTCAGTCTATTCTTTGGGTGAAAATCCAATACTGCATTTTTTTTTTCTCAAGTTGTTCCAACTTTGGCCATTGAGGGCTCTTTTAGGTTGACTCTGGTATACTTTTGGCATGACCCCTTCACTTTTGTTTTAAAAGCACTTCCTTACTTTCTAACATGACAAGAGGATTCGGCAAAGTCTAGTCTACCCCTGCCCCAGTGCTAGGCTCAGTGATTTCTCCAGTGAGCCCTGGTTCCTTTTATTGGAGGGTGGTGTTTGAAACCAAGATCGTGACACTGACTGTGCTTCTTGTGCAGGAGGGCTGTTTATCCTAGTTTCTCTCAGCCAGCAGAGCTAGGAAATAAATGCATGTATCCCAGTCTATGTATATGCACGTAGCAATGATAACTTCCGTATCTACCTATATTAAGCTAAAAATGAGTTCAGTCTGACGACTCTGACTCTAACATGGTTTATTCTAGCCTTTCTCCTTGTGTAGCTGTAATCTCCCTTTCCAATGGTGAGAAGCCTGCTTCCTTCTGTCAGCTACTTTCTTTTGTTTAATCCCAGTACGCACACATAGCATTTTCAGAATTGTTAACGCACATCCACGTGAGAAATAATTTCACCAACTAGAGCAGAGCTGAGCGTAGTTCCTCTGCCTTTAGTCTTGCAGTTTCAATAATTTACAAAGTTGCTTAGGTCAGCACCTTTTCTCCCCACTTCTTCCGTGAGGTTAGGTCACACATTTGTAATGTCCTTAATTCTTTTGTGACA